TTCACCTAACAGGACTATGTCATCTGCATATTCTAGATCTAAGGAAAATTCACCTGTGATTCGGTCAACGTCTGTGTAATTAGGTGACGAGAGGGAAACCTCCATAAGAATATCTATGATAAAATTAAATAAGAATGGGGATAGTGGGCATCCTTGACGGACACCACTTGATGAGTATAGCTCCCTGGACAACTCACCATAGGCTCTAACATGCCCACAAGTGTTCGAGTAGAGAGCTTTCAATAAGGTGATGTACTTACTAGGCACGCCTTTCAGTGACAGACATTGCCATAAGACTTCTCGATCAACGGAGTCAAATGCCGCCTTCAGGTCGAGAAATACAGCTATTGTCGGGCGTCTGTAAGCATGCCTATGTTCCAGGACCTGGCGCAGTGTGAATATTTGGTCGATACATCCACGGCCAGGTCTAAAGCCTGCCTGGTTTTCTCGGGCTTGCTGTTCCCGAGCTCCACTCAGGCGTCGGAGAATTATAGAACTTAGGATCTTAGACACTATGTTTGTCAGGCTGATTCCTCTGTGGTTATCACAAGAGGACTTCTCGCCTTTCTTGAAGACTGGGATGATGAGTGACTTAGACCAGTCGGAGGGGATCGTATTTGATTCCCATATACTGGCTAACACTTCCGTTAGCCTGACTAAGAGAACTCTACCACCATTCTTGTATACCTCAGCAGGTAGTCCGTCTGGTCCTGCTGCCCTTCCTCGTTTCAGGCTACCTACCGCTTTCTCAACTTCTTCTAGTGTTGGGGGCCTGTCTCTATGTCCCATTCAGGGTCCGACTGGATAGCGGGCAGCGCAATGGTGGCTGGAGGCCAGTTAAACTGTTCCTCGAAGTGTTCTGCCCATCGTTCCAGTCATCTCTCCTGCGAGTGAATCGCAGATCCGTCCTTCTCCGCTATAACCTCACTAACTGTTGTTGACCTTTTCCCCCAGTCTCCTTAATAAGTCTAAATAACTGTCTACTGTTACCGATCGCCGCTGCCTTTTCCATCTCTTTAGCCTTGCTGCCCACCACTGTTCACGATCGTTGCGCAGACTTTTCGTCAGTTATTTTTAAGTTGCGCTCGCTCTTCATTGTACTCAGAGCCTGCAGGGATGCATTCACGTGCATCCATTAGTTTGGAAGAAGCTGCTGATATCCACTGGCTCTTTTTAGCCATCTTTTGGAGTCGGCTACAGTCCTCAGTGCTGCTTTTACAGTAGACTGAAGATGGCACCAAGCTTCTTCTGGATGAGTGACAGTCTTTTGTTCCGATAACTGCCTAGCCAACTTCTCACTGAACACGGCTTTGGTGTTTTCGTTGTCCAGCAGAACTCGTAGTGGTTTTGTTGCCAAATTTTTTCTACGTCCATTGAGACGCAGGCATATACGTGCTCGGACCAACGCATGATCGCTGTCCAAACACGTACTCCAGAAGGAGCGGCAGTCTTCCACCGATCCTCTCCAGCGATGACTAATAGCAATGTGGTCTATCTGTGTCCATCGCTGAGTCGAGCTCGGTGGACGCCAGGTCAGACAGTGCCTTTCTTTATGTCTGAAATTTGTGCTGGCTAAAAATAGGCGGTTATCTGAGCATAGTTGTAATAGGCGATCACCGTTATCTGTACGTTCAGCTGGGATTCCGAAAGTGCCACCTAAGTGCCTTTCTGCCTCACTCAGTCTACCCACCTGTGCGTTGAGGTCACCTGCAACAACCACTACGTCCGAACGTTTGGCTTTCGAGAGGAGGTTAGACAGTTTATGGTAGAACTCGTCCTTCACTTCATCCGAACTGCAGTCAGTGGGTGCGTAAGCAGAGATTACAAAGAGACAACGGCGAGTCTCACTATTCCTTTTAGTTCTCACTGTGCCGTTCAGCCTCATAGCGCAGAGGCGACTATCAACTGGGATCCAGTCTAGTAGTGAGTTTTCTGCCCTGGTGCTTAATGCTATACCTACACCTGCAAGACCACGAGAGCTAGCTATCGAATCTCCAGAAACTCGAAGGGTGAATTTTGCAGATTCACCAGATTGGTCAGGAGAGGTCAGGTGAATAACCACACTTGGGTCCTGTATGCGTGTCTCACAAACACAGCACACATCCATGCCCCGAGAGTCTTTGCCAACGAAGCCTGTTGGCCAATTTGACGGAGGGTGCGGACATTGAAGGCTCCAATATGTAATTTGGAGCGTGGTTTAAGGAGACCAGGGATGCTGTTCTGTGGACTCAGATCGTTGTCGAAGGCTGCAGAGGTAGGAGAAATTGAAGATGATGCAGCATCATTAATTAAGAGACGTGAAGGAAGATTAGAAGGTAATGATGGAGGAGGAGGATAGCAGTCAGAAGAAACTTGGGTGCTGACAGAGTTGTGAGGGCGGTTGACACTTCCCGGCTGCCCACACCGTGGAAGGCTATTTCTTCTTAAGGTACCTGAAAGAGATTTGTGTGACCGCAGAGCCCATCGGACATCTGCTTGAGGCCTGTCACACCCAGCCTTTTGAGTATGATTATTTTGAATTTTTGTATTTTTGGGGCCGGATGATCGAAAGGAAACGACAAGTGAACCAACACCGCCGGCCCGGCAGACCGTGGGGCGTGGTGGAGTGTGTTATTTTTGGGGCCGACCTTTTCTAACCCCCCCTTCCACTGAGAAGGCAGCATCAGCATGGCACTGCTGGTCATCCAAGGGAAACACCTTACTGCTGTCACACCCCATCCAGCTAGCAGCAGTACGACTTCGCCCTCAGACCCCCATCATAGTGTAGCAATTTACACCATAACGGTAACTGCTTTTCGTCTAACCACCATCCAACAGACCTTTCTGGTATGGTAGGACCTCGAGGGAACAAGCGTTCCACCAGCATAGCTCGTTGGGTCATTGTGATATGCAAGCCCGACCACCACGTCAAGGTAGCAGCTATCGGTCGGTTCTCGGATCCGTCCCTTCGGGACAGTTCATTCCATGAACTGTTAAGTTTTTCGTGCATATGACTGTTTGAAGGAGTACAGTGCAGCCTCAACTGAAGCTTATAAATTAACTGCAATCCTCCGGAAAGGCTGCTAAGATAACAGCGGCTATATTCGCTCTCCACATTTTGGGTTCAGCTGGGGCATCGACCTGGCAAGACACGGCTGCTGTGAATTTGAAGATGATTACAGCGTGATCACTTTTACAAAGGGGTGCAAGGCCAATATTAGCTAAGTCACAAATGCACTGTGGATTTTGTTTGAATATCTTTTTAAACTATCTGTGAATTAGTTGAAAAAAGTAGCTGAAATGGTTCGTCAAAGTTCTGTGTATCTCTGTAAGCAATCTTCCCAGAATAGTGATGGCAGTTTAGGTGAAGGAATTCGGATGCCAGTTAGTCAGCGTCACCATGCAATTTGATATTACTGCATGCCAGTCCAAGTTGTCGCACACTGTATCAGCACATGAAGGTAGAAAGCACAAAAGCTAAAGGCGGTAAAAAGCAGTCAAAAGTAGTAGAAAAATATGGAAAGAGTACAGAAAGGAATAAAACAATAATAAAGTAAGGTTTAAAAACTAAGAAGAAGATGAAGTTTAGATACATCTGAGATTGATTATGGACCATATCGCTTAGTCTCCAACCACTGGTTTTAGCTGTCCTCTAGACCACCGTCAAGAAGTCTACATTTCCCTACAAAGTTAAAGCCAAGAGCCAAGGACTATGAACTGGTGCCCCGTTTTAGTCTAGCTGCCTCTAACCTTTTCATAGACAACTTCAACTAACATTACGCTACAGGGTAGACAGTAAATAGGCCTGCGTCATATGTCTTACCATCTGAATAAGCGAACGTATACTTCATCAACTTACATTCCTCTTCTTTCTAAGAGTTTACTCCTGACTTTGCATTACTGACGTGGTAACACCAGGAAGCATGGTCTATGCTGCGTAGACACCGGCAGTGGAATAAATTGGTCTACCTCATGTCCTTCACGTTTAATAGTTATGTTTCTCGGCCATATAGTGGAACACTGCAATACAGTAAGCTATTGGATGTCACACCGACAGGATTTATGAGAACTAGACAAATTTGACAATAAGCTTCTGAGTCTCTAAATACTGAATCATTTAATTGGCTGTCGGTCCTCATGATAAAATCTTCAGATCACATCATTCAGTATCTAGTAAATATTATTGATATTACTCTTTGAGTATTAGTAGTGGTGTGTTTGTGCTTTGTACTTATTCACGAGTCGACTGTTGGCACTTGGCATTTTGCTATTTCTGTTATAACAATGCTTCCTCTTCGGGATTAAGGGTGGATCTTGAGTCACTTTAGTTTTGCAGAATGCTGTTAACCGGTCAGTATATCTTAGTTGAATTATAAAATGATTGGTCATAGAAGAGTAATCAATTTCATGTTGTTTAGTTCTCACTGCTGACTGGGCTCTTCCCATCGTTTTATTATGGCCACGAAATTTTTAGGTTCACAATCGCGGTGCACTTTGATTGACGTTACGTTGTTGAAAGCGATTGGTAGCAAGCTCTAAACCTTGGTTTCATACTCTTTGGCACTTATCATTGAGGACTATGCACACCCTCAAGGAAACTGGTGTCCCTTAAGAGAATGGAACCCGCGTTATCTGGTACTTTAGTCAGGGATCTGGCTTGCGGATGAAACTTGCGCAACTCGACAGTTATATGCGGTTTTTCGCATAAGACTATGTGCAACATCAATTTTATGGCTTTCCCTACTACTTAGCCACTCAAACTTTCAAAATTCCCTGCCAAAAATAAGTCTTTCGTAGAAGATTCTGTACTACTAGAACTGCGGTGAAGCGTCCTTTCTGTTAAGGATGACTTAAACATTGTTATTCAACTGGGCGTATGTCGAAAGCATGTGCAACTATCACTAGTGCATATTTTAAAATTTCTATTATCCATGCATGCCTAACTTTGTTTTTCTTTTTTATAGGTTCTGAAAACGTATCAGTTGTAGTTTATTCTTAAGCACCATCTTGATCTGTTCGAAATGACTTTTGAGAACCTTGGTGTATGTTCTGAAATTGTAGAGTTACTACGGGATAAGGGGATTACTAACCCCACTGAAGTTCAAAGAGGTTGCATTCCTATCATTTTAGAAGGTATTTCACATGGTTTCTAAAAATTCCGGCTTTAGGTAATGATGTAGTGGCATGTGCAAAGACTGGTTCTGGAAAAACAGCAGCATTTCTGATTCCTATACTCCAGTCACTTATGATAGAGCTGAAACCATTATATGCCCTTATAATTACTCCGACAAGGTATTAAGTGTTTTAGCAGTTACGTTTTGCTTTCGATTAGTATCACATTTATTTCGCTTTTGTTTAAACTTTTAAACTAATTACTCGTATATGGTAGAATGTCTTCTACTTGATGGGGCTGCGAATTCCTAATGTGTCATGGTTCATACTGGTTTATCGTACTGATTGTGTGTTCGTTATAATGGTTGTGAAAAATATTCTTATTCTTTTTAATCCAGCAGCATAGCTCAAGAATCGTACACATAATAGTGTTTAAGATGTATGATTCCACCCATATTTTGTCTGCACAAGTTAAAGTTTTAGAAAATATTAGATACATAATTGAAGGATAGGATACATGTAACTTTTGTGTTATCGTAAGCTACCACAGTTATTGTGTATGTACTTCTTTTTCATTTCTACTAAGTTCATTTATGTATATTATTTTTACCACATATAATCATGCATCTATAGTTTCCTTCTGAATATCACTAAATTGAACAGTTTCTAGTAGAATATAGTTTTAATTACTATAAACCAGGTGACCTCATGAAGTTGGGGATTAGTTGTTTCAGCATTATAGGTAACGTTGAAGTTGGTTATATTCAAAAGTCGAGTAATCTAATTATGACTTTCTTCATGAAATAAAACTTACAGGACTAACAAAATCAAAGAGAATATGATCGATATAGCTCCATACCATGACGTCCTTTTTCAGTCTATACGCACTATAACTTGCAGCATTCCCCTTGTAACTTTCAAACACTGTTATCAATGCCTAAGTATTAAACGAATTTGATTCTCAATGATCACACTGTAGTACAATATAGATCCTACTACTGATGTGTTTTAAATCATTAAAGAAGGCTACATGGGCATATGCCGTTACACTGAAATTTCCATTTCCGTTTTGTAAAGCATACATCATACTTCTAGGCTCTGGTTTGACCAATAGAGTTTGGTTTCCGGAATGTGTCCTTTTTACATAGTAAGATAAAGTCTCCTGAATTTCTGGAAAGCAATTATTTCTTTGAATTATATATTTGCAGTTTCACCATAGAGTTCCCTTGTAACTTGTGCATGACATGTTACTGACAGCACAATTAAATAGAAATAAGGATTTCGATAACGCTACTAGAAGACGAAGATTATCTGAAAAATGTGGTGTATTTGAGCAATACATTTCGAACAATCTGATCACACATTTACTCGTCAAGTCCATTTATATATGAAAATTAAAGGTCAAATATAGTGAATATGAAAAGGTATTGCGCAAATACATCACATTTTTCAGATAATCTTCGTCTTCTAATAGCGTTATCGAAATTTATTAAAGGGACTAATTGTTTCAAATTTCTGAAAAGAAATAAGGATATCAGGAACTACCTCGTCTCGTCACTGATTTTAATGCTTGAAGACAGGACTATGTATCCTAACTTATCTGAGCTTTTTACTGGACAGTGTTTCTGGGATGTTAATAAGCTTAAAAAGTAATGGCAGTACGAAGGATTTTGTAAGTGGTAGGTACAAATTTTCAACCACATTTCCAAAGTTAGTAAGAAAATTGGCTACTACAGAACTAACCTTTCTAGGTTTGCGAATTGTAAGGTTATCAATTGCTTCATCTAAATCTACAAAATACTTAGCAACACCATTTAAAAGAGTATGTTTCATTATTGATTTCTTCTTTCAGAGAGTTGGCTCATCAAATAGGGGAGCAAGCAGCGGGATTGAATTTAATCCAAGGTGAACCTCTATGCAGTGTATTGGTGATAACTGGAGGAAGAAGCATAGTTCATCAAAGTATTGATTTGGCTCGATCCCCACATATAATTGTTGCTACTCCTGGTCGATTGGCAGATCTTTTACGCACCCAGATAGCTGCTGAAGAAGCTGACGAGACTTGTAAGGCAGAATGGACATTATCCCGAACAAAAGTAGTAGTTCTAGATGAAGCAGATCGACTGTTAGAAGATAATTTTGGCAAAGATCTTGGTCTCATACTAAAAGCGCTCCCCAAACGTCGTCAGACTTTACTTTTCAGTGCTACTTTCAGTGATGCTGTTAAGTCGTCACTGGAAGCTGCGAAATCAGCAGCCTATGCCGAAGACCGACGTCCTCCTATTTTATGGCAACCTGAATGCATGACTTCATGTCCATCTTACGGTGCCACAACTGTTGAAACCTTGAGTCAATACTATATTTTGATGCGTCCTGAGCACAAAGAAGCATTTTTGGTTCATACTGTTGATCAGTTTCTTACTGAGAATCCACATTCACTTATTATGATATTTACAAATAAATGTAAATGGTGTCACCTTATCGGTCTTATGATGAACAGCTTAGGTATAAAAACAACTCTCCTCCACTCTGCTATGACTCAAAAGAACCGCATATCTTCGCTAACTCTTTTCCGTTCCAGTCAAATTCGTGTCTTAATTGCAACAGACCTGGCAAGTCGTGGACTTGATTTTCCAACTGTTGATATTGTAATCAATCATAATGTCCCTATCCGACCAAAAGACTACGTCCATCGAGTTGGACGAACCGCTCGAGCTGGGAAGGCCGGCATAGCATTGACTTTATGTGACCTTTTTGAAATAAAACGTTTAAAGGCTATCCAGACATTTATCAGTAAGTAATATTTGGGTTTCATCTATTTTCAGTTGTTGCATTTTTGGTTCGTGACAGCAGTAGCCATAGTGCAGTAGTGCAATTTAAACTGGAAAGTGATCCATAACTACATTGTAATGATTTTTTATACAACTTGTTACAAAATCCTCTGAAAGAAGTAAGGATGTTTTCAAGATTTCAAGTCATAAATTAACACATCCCATTTATGTTTAACTGTGTGACAGAAAATGTGCCGGATTGCTAAGTACTCATCTACCACTAGAAACAGTGGGGCTGCATGCATAATACAGCGAAAATGTTGGAGCTGTGACCTATTGGTCTGAGCACTGGATTCTAAAACGGTTAGTCAAGGGTTCGAAACTGGACCTACCTACCTACCGAGGTTTAGGTAGCATAATAGCATCATTAGCTCCCCCACGCCTCAAGTGTGGCTCATTGCCTACTGCATGAATATGCGCAAGGTTGCTGAATGGATTTCGATTCGACTTTCGCAGCAAAAACCGACTACTCAGCAGCCACCTTAAAGCTAATACACTAAGTTATGAGGTGAAAAAGGCACTATTACTGGTTACGTATTCAGATGATTTCGATTCTTTGTTCAGTTTTTACTGATTGAGACAATCGTTACTAAAAATATCTAAAAGTAAGATAGTACAAGCAATAGCCTTTTTAAAATGAATTAATATCTCATAATTGGATACGAGTCTCTGTACGCGGGAAAACCCTATAGAAATCTAGTAAGAACATCTATCTGATGGTGCGGTATTTGGTAGCTACAAAAAACAAGGAGGAATGAAAAATTCTGATGTTGATAAATTTATTTGTTTAAGGTCTGTATATAACTTTTTGCACATTATGTAGTTCATTGATAACATTTATTTGTAGATAAAGAACTAAAAACTTTTGAAGTAAATGAGAAAAAGGTTGCTCAAATCATAGCTGAGGTATCAATTGCTCGTCGTGATGCAGAACGAGTAGGTATATCCTTTACACTAAGTATATTCAACAGAAACTGGATGAGATTCGATTTGATGAAAAACGCGAGATCAATAAAGCAAAACAAGTGAGTTACTCTTTTTGCCTTGTTATTAAGTATTTTCTAGATATTGAAGACCAGAGAATCAACGAAACTGAGTAAAACTGAAGATTCGGTGGGTGGACCTTCATTGTAAATAATCTGAGTACTTTTTGTTTCCAAAATAAAATTTATTTTTGTGAATTATTGTCTGTGGTCGTTTTGTTAATTGTAGAAATACGATGTGATTAGAGAATGTACAGTTAGTTTCTTGTCACAGTGCTGGGAGAGCTAGTAACGAGCTTCTTGAGTAAACTCAATGAAGACGAAGCTGACAGATACCGGTAGGTCCCGACGTTACTATACAGCATAGCTGTGTTACTCCTGAAACTGTAAGTCTACTAAGGGTCCATGGAAACTCCTGAGATAAGGTTCGTAAAGTTAAATGAAATACCCCATTGGGATTTTGCGTAGATTCTTAAACTACAGACCATCCACTCAAGACGGGTAGCTGGTAGGACTTAGTGAATAAGATAGTCAAGGTATATAGAGTCTACCTACGATAGAGATTGACTGATGAACATACAGTCAGGAAAAGTATGCGCAGTTTGGGAAGAGAATGTGTGATAGATGTTGAGAATGACGATTAAAGTATTCCGCGTGCGTAGGAATGTAAATTTGTAGAGATAGACGAAAAGGTGCAGACGACGAATGGTTACTAATTAGATTTTCCACCATTTTATTTATTGCCAAAATAAAACTAATGAACGAAATTTGTATAGTTAGTAATCGTGTCCACACGTTTTTGATGAGTATGAAAGTGAATCTAGCAGGTAGTAGAAAGTGGATTTTACTACCTCAGTACTTGAAATGAAGATGAACTAGGGGTGAAAAATCGGGATATGGCTTATACTACGAAGGCAACGGTGGTCAAACACCTGAAGCCCTCTCATGTCTTCCACCTTCAATGGCCATGTTTCACAGTCATACAGTAGAAGAGAGCGGACTGCTGTGCAGTACACGCGACCCTTAATAGACAAACGAATATCACGGCGGCGCCATAGGTGGCGTAAATTGGCAAAAGCCAATCGAGCCTTTTGTATCCGTGCAGAAATCTCATCGGCAACTGACCCACCGGAGTTGATCCTACTTCCCAGGTAAGTGAAGTGGTCAACACACTCAACCACTTCACTCTCTATTGTTAACCGCGGTACCGCTGAAGACCAGTCCTGGAACAAAAATTTGCATTTGGGTGGTGAAAATCGCATCCCAAACATTCTCAAATTTCCACTCAAAGTGTTCAGAAGACTCTGCATCTTGTCAGCGTCTTCACCTAACAGGACTATGTCATCTGCATATTCTAGATCTAAGGAAAATTCACCTGTGGTCCGGTCAACGTCTTTGTAATTAGGTGACGAGAGGGAAACCTCCATAAGAATATCTATGATAAAATTAAATAAGAATGGGGATAGTGGGCATCCTTGACGGACACCACTTGATGAGTATAGCTCCCTGGACAACTCACCATAGGCTCTAACATGCCCACAAGTGTTCACAAGTGCAGTGGGCAATGAGTTACATCTATTGTGTAAGGTCTATGATACTAACTAGTTGCCTACACCTCAATAAGTGGGGTTCGAGACTGCGACCCATTGTTGAAGTTCAACAGCCTAAAACCAGTAAGCCACAGGGTTGACAAATGAATTTTAAGGACGTGTCCATGCTGGTATTAGTTTTAGTCAATGTATACACTTATTCAGCCATGTTTATATTCATATACCAGCCTGGTCCTTCGTTCATCGCATTGACACGCTGCTTGGAAGTAAAAAAAACCCAAGCTAACTAGTCATTATTCCAAGTATTTACCTATAAAAAGCGTTCAATTTAGTAGATAACTTGTGAATTTTTGAATTGTAAATGTTCCAAAGTTATTTGCGCAGAGACAGTTCCTACAATGTGCTTAGTCCTCACAATCATCTTATCAAGTTATACTGGTTGAAAATCGAAATTCCAGTTGCATCACTTCAAAAATTCCTATTGGTTTTTAAGACCGAAAGCCAACTGCTGTTGTGTAGCGATACATGATTGTTTTGAAAAAGGCAGTTAAGAACTTAGTTCAACTGCTGATTGTAACAGGATATGGCAATGATAATATTTCCCTTTATTGATTTGCGTTCTCAATGACGCTTGCTACGCGTTCTGGTAAATAAAGTTAGATACCGAAATCTGAACAGTATCTCACGAAATATACTGACTGGTAAGGTTTAGCGAAACAAAACTACCTAGATTTAAACACTTTGAAATCGAGACTTAACGAACATATTTAAACAAAAATAACCTGAGTCTATAGCAGCTGACATGAACTCAGCAATGATTAGAGTCCATTTGGATAAAAAACGTTAGTATGACTAGAGTAAGGCATAAGAGCGACCCGTGAAACCGTTACACAACAACTGATGCACATCAGTTTACAAGTTTATTTTCATGTATATATGAAGTACCACCAAAAAGTAACAAAGTACCGTATTCAAAAATTGCAGAGTAAAGAGAGCGATTTGGAATAATACCTGTTGAGAATTCACATAAAATGACTACATATTCATATAGTCATTAAAGCATAGCAGAGCCGTTTTTTCAAGCTCATAAAATAATGTAAAAGGACATGTACACAACGACATCAGGTGGACGAATAACCTGACTCAGCAAAGGAAAAAAACTGACAAAAGAAAGCAGTAGTGATAATTAGAATAGGTAAGAATCAAAAAAGTGTATGAACACGTTATTATATAAAACAAAAGACAACTAGAGAAAATCCAAGTGAACTATACAACAGTTTTTTTCTATAAGAGAAAAGTGTTTGCACATTTTCCCCAGAGGTAAAATACAATTTTCTCCAACTTTTCCACTTAAAACTATTGTACAGTGTATTTGAAATAGTCGTAACATGGAAGCTGAAGTTGATTTGGTTGCATACAATTGTTCGCTACATTATCGGTTTGTAATAACTGGGACTGAGGGTATACAAAATCACCAGCGGATAAATCATCTTGTAAATGGTTATTTATAATGGGTTGATGATAGATATCCGGTGGTATAGAGGAAGACTCAGAAGCGGAAATAGAACTTGAAGGTAGATTGGAATCATACCATCCATGGAATGCAGAAGTAGAGTGATCAGTCATTGGCTGTCGGTACGTATTAGAATCCGAAGCAATATCAATACTTGGCAAATATGTGTCGCTATTATTAAACGATCTATTCACATTTAGATATGACAGCGTATGTGGTAATGTATTATCAGGTATATCACAACCACAATCACCTACTGAATCTGATGGCATGTAGCATATAGCTGAAGGTCGAGTTAACCCACTCTCAGATGTTTGGACAATGCATTCATTTGAGCTTAGAGCAGATGCGACTGGATTTTGAACATTTGTAGATTTTCGATCAGCATCATATGCTTCAAAGGGACAGTTAACATCAAGAGAACTTATGCGATTAGAACTATGGCGCTTGTGATCTATAAAAAAAAGTGGGAAGTTATTTTTCGTCAAATACCTAAATACGTAATACATTTACTCAGGAAATTCATCAATGATAATCTCCCAGGAAATGAAAGCAAGAGAACAGAATAAATTTTATGTTCGAAAAATCTGATAAGCTAGATGAGATTTTAAGACTCAATAACTGCTAAAAATACATTATGTAGATGGGATTTGGGATAACTATATGATTCTAATCCAGGGATATTTTTCTCTATGGCAACAAGGAAAAGTAAACAGCCAAGGGAAATAACACGACGTAAGCATTGTGCCGGCCAGTATCCTTATACTTTAGGTGAAATTCAATACTACAGCACACATACATTGGACGTGAGAATAATCCATTCATCAACATGAACATGAAGGACATGACATCGGTTGCTTAAATACAACTTATTCGTAAACATGAAAAGCACTCAGTCAATGTCTATAGGCATCTAACCGATATGTTTATAAGTATAACCATTATCTAAGCAAACAAATTCATTTCTTTTGCTCTTCATGACCCCAATTTGAAAGACTTATTAAACCTTAATGATCAAAGTTGTCAAAATTGGCCTGAGTCAACCAGGTTCACCATCTTAAGTAACTTCAGTGAATCATAAAATTCATACAAATTATAGTTTTTTCAAGTGATTATGCGTGAAAATTACCACTTCTGTAAGCGAGTGAATTCTGCATATTTGTCGAGTAAAAATAGGTATAAAACTCATTAAACAACATTTGACATGGCATAAACCTACCGAAATTATGTCCCAAGATATCACTTGAAGAGAATTCGGTGTTCGTTCTACGTGCAGTGTAATCGCTGGGAACAGATGATAAATAATCGGCAGATACTGTATTTGGATGATGAATGTTAGTGTGCTCTTGGCTTGATTGCGGTGCTAGATGGACATTTGAACACGGTAAGTTATGTACGGAGTCAGGATCGTTCAGTGAGTTTAAAGAAGGATCTACCTGCGCAGGGAACGGGTAAGATTGCTGTTCCAGGTTGCAGGATATATTGATCTCAGCAGGACCTGAGTGCATTGCAAACGTTGGGTCAAAGTGATTTGTACTTTCGTTTGTCGGTCCCCAGTAATTAGACATGTGTGATTCCTTTGTTTGGGAAGCTGGATGAACATAAGATGTTGGTTCAGAATTTCCTTGCATCAAGTGATTTCCAGGAACCATATTAATGTGATCTTGTACGACTGAGCAATTTGAGTGAGTTACATGGGATGTCCTGTCAAGGAAATCTGTTTTATTTGACAGTAAGGGTTGTTTTCTGTATATGTACTACTTGGATTCGGATCAGACGTGTCACATTCAAAAGCTCTGAAATTAAACAATGTATACCGAGTTAATCCAAAGAAATCAGTTTATAGCATAACATATAAAAATGATGAGCGGTGATTTCCTGTTCTGACAGATCATACAATTTAAAAATATCACATGAGATCAGTGAATTCAGCCAACCGGAATTCACTCATAAATCAGACTTAATATAGCACCTGAAAATGATTGAGGAGTGGAAACTACAGGTAGACCATTCAAGCCTATTTACGGGAATAATTGTGGAAATAAGTTGTTCGCTTAGATCATGCTGCCACACACTCGTTCAGTGTTAGGCGGCAGTCTGCAGAAAGCCCTCAACCTAGGCTTCACGCTTGCTGATACTTGCAGTGTGTGTATGTATGCATCGAACCTCATGCTATATTAATGATAATCTTATTTCTGGAGGAACTTGAATTTATTCACTTAGATTCAAATTCTCTTCTAGGATACTTGTCGATCATCTGGATTCACGAGTTCTAATAAAAAAAGCGTTGTGGATTCAGAGGGTGGAATGACGATTGTTCGAAAAACTTTTAAACTAGTGAAGTGTGTTAATTGAATGAGACATTATTAAAAACATTTCGTAAAAACTATATGATAAAAAAAGCAGTGTAGAGTAAGCACTAAACTTACTTAATGGATGTTGTTGTACAGATAACGTATTCTACCTCTTCACTGTAAGGGTTAACAAACGCAAATAAATGGCATCTCACCGACAGCAGTTCAGTGGTTAGTTTAGAACGGATGTGAACCATAACTGTAAATGTTTGACCCTTGAACTTCCAAGCTAAGAATACAAAATAGATAACATGTGAGTAAGTTTTGTTGAAAATCATTAAATACGTAGACACTATTGTTAAATATCCCAGTATTAAGAAAGTCTAAGGTAAAATGTCAGATTAACAGGTTCTACGACCAACCAGTTTGCAGTTAAGTATAGGAGTCATAAACATTCACTTTCTTGTGGAGCACTGACAAACATTTGTCAAGCAGCTAAGAGAATAATTCAGCCTGAATAATTCCTGCCAAGGATGATGCTGAAAACCATCAAAACAAGATGAATGAAGCATTATCAGATTTCAAACACAAAAACTAGTAATCTTGTCTATATAATCCATTCCTGGAATCTACCTCAAACTGATTAGATATGAGTAGGGTAAAGAGAATAGCAGCTACCAATTCGGTGATCATTGTTAGAAATAAGCGTTGATTAGAAGTAGGTTGTAAACTGTAAATTCAGATCCTACAACCACACCTAAATGCCATGCTATGGCTGACGCTATGTACGGTTCGCCTTCCCTTTCGAAGCTACTTCATGTAGTCATGCGTTCATAGCCCCTGCCATAGAATTTCTTATTCACTGATTTTACATGATTAGAGAGTTTTCTTCAAAGCGATAAATGGATATATATATATATATATATATATATATATATATATATATATATATATATATATATATATATATATATATATGCAATGAACTCTGGGATACAAGAGTAACGGAAAGTGGATGAATCAGTTATATTCGTCAGCAACCATTAGAATCCAGCTCTTGAAGTTCCTCTGATACTTTCTTGATTCCCAACCGATAACCGCTACCTTGACATGGTAGTCAGGACATACAATCACAATGATCCAACGAGATATGTCCTCCTAAAACCGCGCTCCAAATTACACATTGCAGCTTTCAATGTTCGCAAACGAATCAAATCGGAAAGCACCGAGCAACGTTGTAAACATTTGGGGAGTAGGCAATGAGCCACATCTATCGTGTAGGGGGTACTAATAATACCTTGATGCCTAAACCTCAGTAGATGGAGCGGGGATCGGCCCCGTGGCCCATTAATTGGAAGTCATCTACGTAAACCAATGAGCCACATTCTCCGTCAAATTGACCAGCAAGCTTCACTAGCCCAAACTCTAGGATCTCATACCTTGGATGTGCACTGTGTTTATGAGACAGGTATACAAGATCTAAGTGGGGTTATCCACTTTAGCCCGCCCGGTCAATATCATGAATCTGCAAACTTCACCCTTCGAGTTTGCGGAGATTTCACACATAGATCTCATGATCATACAGGTGTAAGTATAGCATTAATTGTTAAGGAAGTGGGCTGCCAGATTGCACCTCAGTTGATAGTCATCTGGGCGCTGTTCGACTGAACGGCGCAGTGAGGGCTACGAAGAACAGTGAAACTCGCCGCTCCTTCTTTGTAATCTGCACTGATATCAAGATGACGTGAACGATCATTTCTACCAAAAACTGTCTAGCCTCTTACCAAATGTCAAACGCTAAATTTGCTTGCTATAATGGGTGACTTCAACGCTAAGTCAGCCAGTAAGGCATATTCGGAATCCTAGACGAATTAAAAGATGATGGTAATCGCAGAAACATTGTCTGATGTGAGTCGCACCGATCTCAACTCCGTAGTTCACACAGAGTTATCGCTGGAGAGGGGTCGGTGGAAGACCATCAGTCTTTCTGAAGTACGTTTTTGGACCATGATTACGCGTTGGTTCAAACATGCGTATATCTATGTCTCAATGAGCGTGGAAAAACCATAGCTACAAGACCGTTCGAAGCGCAGATTGACGATAAGACTACTAAGGCTGATTTCGGTGAGGAACTGGCTAGACAGTCATCGGAACACAACAACATTCATCCGGAAGAAGCTTGATGCCATCTTCGGTCTGCTACAAAAACCAGCTTCGAAGACTGTAGATGGCTCTCGGAGAGTGGTTAAAGAGAGCCAGTGGATATCAGCAGCTTCACTGAAATTAATGGATGCACGTGATCGTATCTCTGCGGGCTCCGGGTAAAATGAAGAGCGGACGCAGCTTCAACGTAGATTGATAAAAGGTCTACGCAATGACTGTGAGCAGAGAAGGATAAAGAGATGAAAAAGACAGTGGCGATAGGTGATAGTAGACAGCTATTTCTACTTATCAAGGAAACTGGGACGAAAAAGTCAGTGATTAGTTAGACAGTGGCGGAGAAGGAGTCTGTGATTCACTCGTAGAAGAGACGACTGGAACAATGAACAGAACAATCAGATCCTTAATGGAACATCGAGATAGGACCCCCAACACATATGGAAGTCAAGAAAGCAGTAAGTAACCGCAAACGAAGAGCAGCAGGGCCAGATAGACTAGTTCCAGGGATATCTAAGGACCGTTGGCGAGGATGCTTAGCTAAGCAAGTATTAACTAGTTTGTGGAAGTCAGATATGATCCCCTCTGATTGGTCTCAATCGCTGACTGCCTCAGTCCTCAAGGAAGGCAAGAAGTCCTCCTGTGATAACCAAAGAGGAATAAGTCTGACGAACACAGTTTCTAATATTCCAGGTTCTAAAATCATACGTTCGAGTGGAGCTCGGGAGCAGCAAATGCGAGAAACCCAGAAGACTGCAGTTATATCGACCAGACATTCACGCTCGGTTGGATTCTGCAACACAGCCATACTAACCGAGACCGGCGGTATTTCTTGACGGGAAAGGAGCATTCGGTTCCGTCGATCGAGAAGTCTTGAAGGAGTGTCTCTCACTGAAACAGATGTCAGGTACATCATTTCACTGAATGCTCTGTATTTGAAAATCCCTGGGCACCTTACAGCTTATGGTGAGTTGTTTACGTCGAGTGGTGTCCGTCAAGGATGCCCACTCTTTCCAATCTTATTCAATTTTTATCGTAGACATTATTATTGAAGTCGCTCTCTCATCATCTGACTTCGCGAGGGTTGGGTGTTATCATAGGAGAATTATTAAAAATAATCTAAATAGTTAAAATGCCAAATTGTGCACATGCGTGCAGTAGGCAATGAAAGCTAGTGATACTGCCTGGCTGCCCAAACCCCGGTAGATGGGGCGGCGTTCGAAGCCGTGACCCACTGGTTGACAATCATCTTCATAAACCACTGAGCCACATAAACATATAGCATACAACTCTCTTCAAACCTCGCACATGATCATAAGATCATGCATTATCCCATTGCCCTTGGTGATCTGGCAGCATGTAATCACATGAACAACATCAGGGTATCTGATAAGCTAGGTACACGAGAATCCTTAGTAGATCTAGAATACGCAGATGACATAGTCCTATTAGGTGACGATCCTGAGAAGTTGCAGAGTCCTCTGGACATCTTCAGTGACAATTTGAGAATGTTTGGATTGCGTTTCTAGCTAACCAAATGCGAACTGTTGCTCTCACACTGATCTTCCCTGGTGACCTGTCTAATAATAGGGACGGAAGCCGTTGAGCGCGTTGACCACTTCACTTACCTAGGAAGTCAAACCAGCCCTAACGGATCAGAGACCAACGAAATTTCTGCACAAATACAAATGGTTCGCTTGCCTTTCCCCCAACTTACGCCATCTGTGCCACGGCTTTGACATCTGACTACCTATTACGGGTCGAGTGTACAGCACTTCAGTTTGTTGTTCTGCTGTATGACTGTGAAACAGCCATTAAAGGTAGGGAATATGAGAAGGCCACTGTCGCCTTTGCAGCGTAGGCTGTGTCGCGGTGTCACCAAGTCAGTACCGCAGATGTCAGGTGTAGAGTTTTAGGCAGAAGAGGAAAGTCATTTGGTAAGGTCGTGAATCTTCATCGACTGAAGTAGCTGGTACATGTGTTACGCATACTTAGTCACCATTTGCCTCGTCGCGCAATGTTAGCAGAATTAGGTTTAGGTTACAAAAAGGCTCTGGGTGGTGAGACTAAAACAGCATCAGTCCATGAAGTCTTTGGCTGTTGACATGAGTCATGTAGGGAGATGCAAACTTCTCTCCTGAGGTCCATGTGACAACAGAAACCAGTAGTAGTAGAATCGATGTCAGTGGCGCACATGAATCCATACACTGTCTTAACCGCTAAATTGAATTCAGTATTTTTCTCATTCCACCTTCCTCTTTTTTTACTAGTTTCCAATAGTTTTGACCGATTTTCCCTTATTTCATCTTCACCTTATTGCTTTGTTACTTGACGTGTTGATGTGAGGTGTGGCAACTTGGACTGTTAAGCACTAATGTCTGGTCCTATATTGATACTGATAATGATATCCTTTTTAACATATCCAGTCAGAGGTTTCCGAAAGTTTAGTTTGAGCATCATCTTGAACCCCACACAAATTATGATATAATGCTGAGACGTAAGCCTCAATCTATTTACCTCAGTACAACTCAGTTGGCTCTTTATGTATCCAAAAACATTTGTCTTTACAGACGTTCATATTGAGGGTCGGGAAAAAATTACATAAACTACAGTATGACTAAACGAAAGTACGACACCACTGCAAGCATGCTTCGCCAGATATCTGAATATAGTGACTAAAAAGCTCCACCAATTTGCTCCTTACACATTTTCAAGTACCGAATAATGGCAATATTAGTAATCATTATTGTTATTGTTAAAATTTTCTCACTAAACTGGTAATAATTGCGTACACCACTGTGCTATGCTTAACATTTGTGACCAATTAGTCGGAAAAATGTGGAAAGTTTGAGTACAAGCTAGTATCAATCGTTAAATACACATACTACAGAATAAAACTGGTTACTTTCATGAATCTGCACATTGGAATGCAACTGAGTAGAATATCTTATTGGGTAGTACTGAATGCCTAAAATCATCTAACACTAATCTTGTCACAAATATGCCTTGAAAATGGAAGTTTAGCAAATTCGTTAAAGGTGAGTAATTTTTGCGTATTACTCCGCACACAGTTTCTGAATCCCAACCAACTGTTTTTAAAACATGTGCTGTAAAATTATGTCTTAAAAATCGATGCAGTATACCTTCCAGATACCAGGATAGTACAATGTATTAAGATTCAATGCGTAGTGAGAAATACAAGTATTGTGAACGGTGTTTTACAAACTCCTCACACCAATAAAATTTTGATTACACCATGAAGCTAGACATGACACTAGTTATGTGTAATCACTTTGTCAATTAAAATTATAGATAGATTAATGATTTACCATAAAGACATTAAATTTAGTTTAAGATTACCTTTATCGAATACTTCTTGAAAATTTATCTTGTCCCTAGAAGAAGGTAAGAAATTTCCAAATGCTTGACCGAGTACTTCATTTGTTTCTAATCCTAGAATATTTTGAATTCTTTGGTCGCAAAATGTGACACGTGTATCCGCTGAATGGCGAGTGAGAAACTCATTAAAACGATGTGGATGAAGATCAAGTGCATCTGGTTTGTTTACCAACTGAAGACGACCCAAAGCTATTAAACACTGAGGTATTTGAACATCTGAACATTTGTTACCATCAGAACGACCAAGATGATTATCAGGAACTTGAATAGTAAATTCTCCGTCTTCAGATATTAATCCATCTGAAATATAATAAAATGAGCTTTAATATTTCCGGACATAGGGAACCAAAATTTCTCAGATAATGCTCTACACAGAAGAGATTAACCAATAACTCCAGGCAGTAATAATTACTAAAAAGCAAATTATCTGGTATACAAGAGGAATAATAATACAATACACAAGGTACTTAAAGCACAATTGGAAATCATATTCAGTGAGACAAAATTTGCAAGTTTCTTATGAGATGTGTTGCACTAGCACATAAGTAAAATCGGCAGAGGGAGACTGAAGGTAATGATAATCATATTCATCTTGAGCTTCAAAATAATCATTTCTTCCCTAAACTTGGAACTTTTGTAGGGGCTATCTGATCAAAATCAATTAATCAATGTAAGCTCTTTCAAATAACATTCATTGTGCCAAAAAGAATGTACGCCTATCATAAATCTAGATTAGCTAACTGAGGCTTTTTATCCGAATAGGATATGATGTTTTAACAGATACTACAGTAAAAAGGAGTTTCTTTGTTTTAGGTCGTAATATGCTCTTGAGTTATTCATCAATATTCAATATTCATCAGTTACAACAAAAGTAACAAAAATCTTAGCCGAAAATTGGTGAAAAAGTGAAATCTTTTCAGCTGAAGAAATCGGTTTATAAAAATTAAAAGCACTTCAGCTAAAAAAAACGCCAAATGACTCTGGCACATACTATAATGACGGAGCACATTCAGTCGGGTACATTTAAACTATTTTAGCCCCATTCAATAGAACAACTATTAATTTCTTCCATGGAGTTTTCTTTAATGAAATTTCCTTTCTTCAGAAAAAGATATTCCTGTCTCCAGTTATAAATGCCGAAAATGCATACAACGTGCATTTAAAAGCATAGGGATGATTAGCAATGGCTACCATATCCGTCAGATACCAAATGGTAAGATTCAAACAGAGTCGCTTATGCTTGATGACTCATCATTAAGCGCTTAATACGAACAGTCCTCTACGCTCAGATAGATATACGACAAAGAACCTCAGAAACGTGCACAGGTGAATTTGAACCAAGCCAATAGTAAGCCAGAAGGAATACAAGGAAAGAACAACTTGAGGGTGTTTTTTCATTGCATCTAACCGGCCTAGAATGAAAACCTCATATGAATATATACTACTTTCACCAATGAGATCGCAGACCACTTATTTAGTATGCGGGTTTCATGAGTCAAATTCGGTTTTTTGAAGATATTCAAAATTTATAAAACGTCGTGATGATAAGTAGATTTTCCCAGCCTTTTTTGGGTCGGCGTTTTGAAAAATAGTCGCTTTTCCCAACATTTTTGTTCTGAATACATTTTTCATCTAGATGCACTTTTAATAAATTCGATGATCAACCAAATTTTACCTAGGTAATTTATTTAATGAATTATACCGCACGGGTAGCAACGAATAATCCCAATAGTCTTAGAGCTGAATCATTCAATGACCTTCGGACTTAAGAGTTAAAAATTCCCATCATGCAAATTAGAACAAGACATATAAGCCAACAATATTGTTTTCAATTAGATCCTCTTCAGGCTTTACTTTAATCTATATATATATATATATATATATATATATATATATATATATATATATATATATATATATATATATATTATATATATTATATATATATATATTAGACCGATCATTTAGATTTGCCGGTTGATGTGGTAAATGTTTAAAATAACGATGGAGATCATAATACAAATAATAATGATAAAGTGATAACGTTGACTAAAGCACATGCAATACAGATGATAATGATGATAAGAACCAAGAAAGCAGCATGAAAATGTAGACACTCCGATAATCAAAATGGGTCAAAAGCTTGTGAAAATAAAAGTTATATAATAGTGAAGGGTGAGGTAAGTGGACAAACAAAGTCTGGACAAATACAGTAAGTATACGAAAGAGGTGGAGAATAAGAAAAGGGGTAGGAAAAAAACTGAATGATAAAGTTATTAACTAAGTATTCCCTGGCCAAGGGAGAAGAGATAAGGGATGTACAAATTTCTTCTGGATACAAAGGTTAGGATTATTAGTTCCAACTTCCATAGTTTCTGCTGTGGGTAAAGCCTGAAGAGGATCTAATTGAAAACAATATTGTTCGCTTATATGTCTTGTTCTGACCTTCAGATTGACAAGTGAACTTTACAAATTACACAGGGTGTTAAGCGGAAAGTGTTTTAAACTTAAACTGCTGGTAAACTGGTAAAACGAAGCCGATTATCGCCAAGTGGTAAGCACGCTCAAGAAAAATGAGCAACAGACACATACATAAGTAATGTTATTAGAGAAAATTGTTAGACAAGCAACTATAGTTAACTTGGATTAATTTTTAATAAATGCAGAATGAGATGCATAAAATTTACAGTAAATTCGTCGTACGGAATGAATCGAAAATATACATCGTCTAAATGAAAATGATCAGCTAGTAATATATTCAGACTACCTACTCTACACTAAAATGAGAATAGACAATAGTTCCTACATGTTATTATGGTTTAACACTGCTAGTGTTGAGCTGATAATAAAAATTCCTAGGGTAACTAAAATGCCAAAAATTAACAAATCATGAAACAGTAGAAATACATTTCACGTATCAGTTAATTGGAGAGGTAAACTCCTTAAACTCGTGTGAACATGTAAACGGTGTATTAGGAATACCAAGAAATCTACTAAATATCGATTAATTTGATGTTAAAACTTCTCACGAGTAATTAACTGATTGGACAAACACTAAAATTTAAAAGTATAAACTAGAAGTAACCCAAGACATGGAATACTTGACAACTATATTCCTGAATCCTTAGATGAAGACACTCAGAATAGAATATAAGCCTTTTTCCCATGAAAATACTACGTAAGGTTATCAGATTGAATGCAAAAGGCTGAAGCATACACCCCGAGCTAGTTACTGTTGAGATCTCAGTAATTCGAGAACAGTTCATCTGGACTACAAAATGAATTCTATATGCTGTATGAAAATGACACTGGTGAGATAAACAATAATTTAGAAAAACATTCTACACTAAAGAAGAGGGTGCATGGTGTTTCGTATGTACACTGAATTGCTGGAACCAAGGTGGATGAAGTTAGCTGGTTGGGTGACTGACATATAAAACCATTTGGTAATGTTATTCAATAGTAAAATATCAAAGTTTGCTACAAAAAGGTAAAGCTTAACACAACTTTAGATGATTATTTTCCCGTTTGCCTATATGTAACGACAGTTTTATTTATTGGTGTATCTTCAGGGTTATATTTAGTTACTAATACACTGTTGACATAAGAATGATTCACTCCAACAACGAAATGGTTTTAGCATACTGCAAGTAAGGTAGTCTGCACAAACCTAACAATGGCATGCTTTTAACGGGATATCAACCTGATCTGATATGAATATGGACGATATATTATATCCGAAGCGTTATCCAGTAAATAATACTGTTTCACTATGTGATATTCCTAATAAACAGACTAAAATGGAATTACAATCTACCAACCACAGTGCTACGCTTACATATCAGCTTGATGAAAAAAACCAAAAATTTGAGTAGTATAATACTCCTTCAATTGTGTGAGCTGTATAGTATTGATGCACATATAGTGAACAAAAAATGACAATCAATCAAAAACAAGACGAAAAAGGGAGGTTCTCAAAGACACCCAGTGTACCACCTAATCTTGAATACATGGTTATTAAGCATCGATTAACCTAACACTGGATATGCAACTGCCAGTGATTTCATTTGTGTGAATATAATTCTGTAGTTTTTTCCCAACAAACAATATGCTAAACCTGTGGTGTAATAACTGTTGGATTCAATCACTCCTTGATCACCAATTACAGCCAGTATCTTGGTTTCATGTTTCTTAGTATACGCACAACAAATATAATAAAAACAATTTCCTAATAATAAATTATTGTTTATTCTTTCTCTTCAAACAGAATAGATCGTGCGGTTGACTTTATACTGAGTATTTCAAATCCTAAGTAACAAAGATATCTGTAAATTTTATAGTATTCATGACGAACAAACACTACAACTAGTAATAGTGAAAACAATAGGGCTGATTATTTCAACCGATTCGTCTAGAAATTCTTAACAAACGATGAAAAACTATAATAAGTTTACACTAATACATCATACACTCTCAAATAAGTTATTAGCCTGATAAGGAGAACAACAGCAATTCCTTGGTGAAACTCAGCCACTCTATCATATCCACACTGAAAACTTTTAGCTGGAAGGAAGGACGTTAAATCAAACAGATAAATAAATTTACTAAGAAAACCATCCAGTACATGCAAGAGAGTTTGCATCAAATAAACATAGTATGAAACTTAAGTCCTACCAGTCGGAAGATAGACCAACGTTCTTTGTAGAATTTCTAAATCAGAAATTAGTACATTAAATAATTGGCTGGTCTACATGCACAATCGAAACGCATTTCATTCGGAATAATTAGTAATGCAGCTGGAAATGAAATGATTGAAAATGTAAGAAATGACTTGACTATAACAAGTAACTGATGCATTCCATTCAATTCGTGCATCAAATGTAAAATAAGTACACAAGTAGACAATCTCGATTGTGAATAACAGAAAGATTGGGATATCCTATTTGTGAAAAAACTTCGAACAAAGTTTGAATAATAAGAAAATTGTTATTTTTGTGTAAGCTGATGCGATGCAAAACACACGTAAGCACACTTACCCAAAAAATAGGTTACTCCCATTCAAGTGAACTGATAATGAAGGATAAATAAAAAGATATGAACTTAGAGATTGAAGTCTGTTCATTTCACAAGTGTCGGAATACACGAGCCAAACAAATTACATTATACAGTCCATTACTCAATCGCCAATTCATACACCATTGACTTATGTGTGTTCACTAAATTTTTAGCATACCTTATCAGCTAGCTGACCTAAGTTTGAGATGTTTCAACTTCCCACAAAGAAGTTCAGAAAAAATCAAAGTATAAGGGAAATAACGAAAAAAAGAAAATAACCAGTAGTAACACCACTTATACTTCACAGCCAACATCACACATTAATGGTTACATTCTACCAGTTCAAAATTTGATACACGACTGAAACTGAGACCGTTGGGATAAGTTGTAATTTCTTTTAATCTTCCCGAATTTCTCATAGTTAGCTCCTATTTCGGCGAGTAGCGACCGTAGACGTAGATGGTCAATGAAAAAGACAAAATATGAATCCCACTCTATCTAGTGACCTTCCTGTCTACCTTCCGTCCCATAGTTATTTCACTGCATATGCAAACCACTAGCTACCTAAAAAGCATTTCAAGAAAACTCATCTTCATAGTCATAGTTTGGGCAAAGTTGCACAGTTTATCCTTAATTGCCAAACGGATAGCTTTGAAATGAAGATACGGGTTCAGATAATAGAATACTACCCACCTATTACGTGTACATGCTCAAATGCGGCCAAAAACGACCATTTTCGGGTAAGTCAAACTACTTATATAAGGGAAAAAATTAATGTACTGAACCCTCACATAACACTAAAATTATGTAAAGACAAAAACTAGTTATAGAGCAATATTTAAACCTGAAAAGAGTAGAATGTATTCTGGAGATTCTGATATTTACATTCATAGCATAATGAACACTATTTTTTACAAAATGGGACTGCAACGTTCATAAATTCACAACCAGTAGCCTCCTCAATAGAAAAAAGATAGCGAAAATATGATAAAGGCACACAGGAGCAGTGAAAAAAATTCACATGAAATAATGCCAGTAGCACCGAACGCACCACAAAATTCACCACCACCACCACCACCACCTAATAACAACTCTTTCACCATCAGTGTGCATGTTCATGCATACCTGTTGTGCAAGGTGATCAAAAAACTTGATAGGGAGAGTGGGATTAAACCCCTGCCCCAATGGTTGAAAGTTGACTACCTAAACCAAGTAGTTACTTAAGGCTTACAAGCAGTCAAGTTGTCCGTACATGTACGAATTTGTCACTGTGTGGTGCTGATAGGCGCATTTTTTAGTTTGTAATGCTGGTCAAAACTCACTGACTGTCAAATATGGCTATCAGGTTAGGTGATATATCCCGTTTGTTTTTAGGTGCTATGAGTCTATGCAAAAGCAAACCTGAGTTTCGTGCCTCTTACTACAGGATATCTGTAACCTTGAGATAAGTCATTTTCCCGCAGATATTCAAACTTGCGTCACCCAATGACAAACCGAATTCTCCACGGGAATACAACATACTTCAAGTTTGAAGACACGCTTTACTGACAGGTATAAAAGGTAAGTTTATGACATCTCGATAATTCACATAAAAAATCTAACAACAGAGTCAAGGCAAAAAAACAACACAGGCAACGTGTAATTGCACGATGCACATTACAGTCCCCATAAGTGCATCACAACTCGATAAATAACTGAGTTATTATTTGACCGTCCTCGAAAGTCCTGATATGACTGAGGGTAGGAAGATGCAAGCCATCCTATAGAAATGCTCTTATGTGGCCGGCGTTCGCAGCCAGTGACAGGGGAGTCCTACTCACTGCTTTCATGTGGAAGAGGTGTTTCCACAAAAGTGAGAAGGTAAAAAGCCAATGACTGGCACTATAACCGGATCGGTGTACACGGAGAGTACACTTAGAGGAGTTGGAAAAGCCTGATTCCAAACCCACGATGCACATGGCCATCACCACTCAGAATGATGTTTGAAACTACCGTAATCACCTGTAACCATGGGAATGCATCACCTCACATTGATTCACTGCCTTGCTACCCAGACTTCAAGTCAAAGGCTAGAGGAGCGGTCTCTTAAGACAACCACCAGCTTTGGTCACAGAGTCTAGGCAATAAAACAGCCCACATACATAAATCAACATTAGCAAGGAATAAATCAAAGCACTCTTTAAATATTCATATGAGTAACAAAACTCATTCATTTTAGTGTTCTTATATCTTCTTATGTAATCTTTTTTAAATTTTATATACATTTATATCCTTGTTTTATTTAGCTGCTCGTCACTGTCTAGAATTCCGACCTGTCTATATATTTTTGAGTCGTGAGACAGCTGTTTCCGGAAATTTCTCCTTCAGTGTGGTATCTGATGGATCTGTTATAAAATTGTGCGTAAGCAGTACTCTCGCTACATTCAACTTTCGGATCTTAATGCAGATCTGATGACAGTCATGTTAGGCCAGGACTCTGGAAAATCATGCGATTGGTACATGCTGTATCCCGGACACATACATACATGATACCAGTGAAGTGCTTTGAACAACTTCCCCATGATCTATCAGCTCAAAAAGTTCATTTGCAGTACGTTTATCTGTGAACCGCGGGACATCAGATGCCGACCTTGTTGGCATTAGTGTTCCATTAAGAGCCATAGTCGAAGCTGCGCTGGTCGACTAAATTTCCATTACCAATCATTTGTGTGCTTCTAGGCTAGAAGATTTGCTTGGAGTGAGTAGTAAGTGAAAAGGAGAATGATATCTCTTGGTTATCTCTCCGCATGCCTCAACAAACTGCATCCCGGATGGGATAAGGATGAGTTCTACCATCAACTGAGTGGCATTTTCTACCAAGTTCTCTGGAAAGGTATCGGACTGCTAACTGGGGACTTAATTGCATTCAGGCACAGAGGGTCGTTCGGGTGACAAATGAAATTAGTCCGTCGCAGATCAAATAAGCGAATTGTCTTGTGCACCTTTGCACAGACCAAAACTATCCTTCTGTGTATACAAACTTCCGACACAGCCATCACTGTTGCGCTAACCCGGGATCCTCCTCCTGTCACTCAAACCCGGACGCAAACAGATCATACTGCAATCAGAGAGATAGAGATATAACATCAACGCAGAAGCTCGCACACGAGTGCATCGGTCCAAGTTGCCACATTTCACAATACCATACAAAGAACAAGTTGGTAGCAAAAGACTGATATCAAAGTGGACAAAGATGTATAGAAGGAGAGGGAATTTATTAATTAGGGTTAGTCAAAACATTCAAGCTTTAGAAGACGTCGAAGAGTGTATACACACTTACACCACTGTGACCGATTTTCAGTCGTGTCACTAAGAGTTCTCAACCATTGATTTCTATCATCTCGGGGACCCCAACCAGGTAGTCTACACCTCCTTAAACAGCTCAGACCAACAGTCAGGGACTTCATGTGTCGGTATCGCGTGATGGTTTGGCCACACTGAGCCTTCTTCCAACCTAATTCAATTTCCTCTGACATGGCACGTCGAGGTAGGGGGTGGCCCGACTTGCGCAACACATGCTGTATCAAGTTTGTCTCCCAATAATAACCATATATATATAATAATTTAGATTTACTTATGTCAAACATTTTAGAAATTAGAAATAAACTCATTTACTACATTTCGACAAACACGATTACTTACCGCACAGTTGATCACATCAGCCACAGACATAATAAACAGCGATTTTTATTAAAGTAAGCTATAGATGTTAAGATGTGGTAGTTGAAGAACCAGAAAGTTCGCAAGCTTTACAGTAGACAGTTTCAAATTTTTAATGCAGCCTATAATCAGTAGTTGACGTAACACAAAAATACTCTTTACTAAAAACGACTTCTTACAAAACAATAGTCTTAGGTGGAAACGTAGGAATAAAAGATTAATAATTAGTACGATTCCAAGTGAGTTAGGAAAGTAATTCTTGTTTAAACTTCATTCACTATCCCGTCACAAAAACATCACTCTATCGAATTAAGACTAACTCGGTTGGATGCAAAAATTGATCTCTAGCTTTTTAACTCGTACAGCTCGATTTGAGTTTACACAACAAGACTTACCCAAGCAACTAGTAATGAGGACAAACAGGCAGTTATATAGTACCCAACCACATGACAAACGGGTAAAACGTTTGGTGACTGAAGTGAAGCTGGAAAGTGTTTAGCTGCTAGGTATTGCAGTTCAACAGAAAGAGCTGTGAGCTAGTTACTCAGATATCAAATGTCGTATATCCTAACACGATTCCAGCTTCCTAATTTCTATCATTATTCTCTTCTATGTCCATTAAAATTCGATTCACAAATTAAACCACTGAATCAAGATAGGTAAGATTCAAAAAAAGAAAACCGAGGATGCTCGTCGATTGCTAAGATTAGTTGCGAACACATGACATAAAGACACAATAACTTTTAAGACAAGTTTTCAACAAAAACTCACCGAATAAGGGATATACTTGAGACCCAGTAGTTTGACTCCCGACTTGAATATTATTGGACGACGAATCAATACTGGGATTATACGGCTTAACAAAACCAGTTACATGAACGACAGCATAAGAACACTGACCGTTTGATGATAGGGCTCCAAACGTATGGCGATATCGTAGGCGTGCTCGAGCAGTTAACCCCAGACAGTTTGTAACCCCAATGTCTGACTGAGTGCCAAATGGGATAGCTGAACCCACGCGCATTCGGCATATAAAACCACGACGTGAACCCATATTACCTCGTAAATGAGCTGAGAATAATAACGAGAACAGATTTATTACTAGCTCAATAATACACAGGAAGATAGAAATCTATTTGTTAAACACTGGAAACGAAACAACAAGGTTTGCCAACAATGAACAGAAAATAAATGTTGTTAAAATCTAAAGACAAAATCAACATACTCTAAACTTCTGGAAAATGTTTACCCCATTTTCTTATTATGACCTTCACTTAACTTTTTTTTAAATAACGAAAAAATTGAAGACAATGACATGGAATAACTTTCAGTTGTACTACACAGCTCAATTCCCTCGCCTATTCAATGAGAATTTTGTTAGCATCTTAAAAGCCCCATGACTTTGACATCACAGGTAGCGTGAGGAGATACAATCATCTCTTCTCATTCCTCTAAACAAACAATCGGGTTAGGCAGGGTTGGTCGACTTCGTCATTCTTCTTTGAGTTTATCAACGATTACATTCTTGGGAGAGCTCTAAAGAAGGTAGATTGGTCACCAGATGGAATTTTTCAACTAGAACAAGTGGACAATATCGTATTAATGTACGACAACATTCAGGTTACTTAGATCAGACTTAATCAGCTAGTTATCACTGTCGTATGTCATTTGCGTTGAACTTTCAAAATGAAAAATGTTTCTACAAGATTTGCAGGACTAAGTACCTCTACTCACCCTTAATAGTGAATCTCTTGAAGTTGTCATAAGATTTGTGAGTATGGGTAGTTGCTTGAGTGCTAATGTAAGTGTGACTGATGACATTCCCAACGATATATTGAAAGCCAGGGTCAATATGCATCAACCCAAGCGTCGTTGCAAAACCTGACTTGTGACAATACCTCTCGATCGACGAGGTCAAATCGAACCATCAGGTCAAGAAATACACGTTGTGTGCAAGTGCATCACAATACTTCGATGAAAGTGAAGAAGTGGTTGGTGCGGTCCCTGCTGCGTGTGGTAATTGCCTGGTTTTCATGCGCTTCCTGTAGCCGAGCTTTACTTAGGTAACTTAACGTCGCAGAACCTAGGACCTTATATAGTATGCTAGTCAAACTGATCACCCTACCCACCCACCGCTGTTATCGCTAAAGAATTTCTCTCCTTTCTTGAGGACTGAGAACGTCACCGATTAAGATCAGTCAGGGGTGATCATAACTGATTCCGACACACCAGCTAGCATTTCAATCAATCTAACCAATAGTCCTCTAACACTGTCAATATAAATATCTCTCGTGATAGCCCATTTCGGTCTGCTATCCTTCCTCGTTCCAGGTGGCATACATCCTCCTCAGCTTCCACAGGAGTTGGACACCCATTTTCAATGTTCTAGTCAGCAACTGTAGAGTAGCCGAATTTCAGTTGAACTGTTCGTCAGAGTTTTCCACCCATCGTTCCACTCGTCTCCCCTATGAGTGAACAGCAAACCCATCCTTCTCTGCAATAATTTCACTAGCCATAGAGTTTCTATTCCACTTTTCTTGATGAGTCTAAATGACTGTCTAATGTTGCCTATCGTAGCTGCCGTCATCTCTTCAGCTTTTGATGTTCATCACCACTCATGGTCATTGCGCAGTCTGTTTGTCAGCCTACACTTAAGTTGCTTCTGCTCCTTATGGTCCTCGCAGCTCTAGAGATGCATTCACGTGTATGGATTAATTCAGAACCTGGTGAGTATTCCCTGGCCCTTTCTAACCATTTTCTGAGTCAGCTACGGTCTGCGCAGCTATTTTTACAGTAGACTGGGAATAACACCAGGCTTTTAGAGAATGAGTGACATTGACCTGGTTGGGAATTATCTAGCCAGTTCTCCGTTGAAAGCAGCCTCAGTATACTAGTCACCAAGCTACGATTGGAACAGTCTGGTAGCAGTGGTTCTTCTATGTCCATTAAAGCGCAGGTATACACATACTCAAACCGATGGGAAATGGCTACTTAAGAAAGACCTCTAGAGGGCTTGGAAATCTTCCACAAACTTTCTTCGTGTAATAACCAAAGTCAATGAATGGAGAATCTAAGAGATATGGCTAAGAATCAACTGAAACGGTACACATCTTAATCATCGTATCGTATTTTGGCATTTGATTTATCCTCTTTCCTTCCTATGACTTTTGACTACATTTTTTAGGATTTCTCTATCTCTCATCTTGTTGTCTTATATTATGAGGTGTAAGTATGAGGAGTGACCGTTACGCAGTACTGCTTGATCCTGTACCGATATTGGATGATCGATCGACTACCAAACAGAAAACTAAGAACCATTCTGACAGTACTAAAAAGTCTTGGTTGTATTGTGTTCTCTGAGCTGGGTTGTTTAATCGTGAAGCTTTCATCGCCTTGCTAGACGACATCATCAGCACTAACTTCAGTATGAAGTACTAAAAAGTATTACTATAAGGAGAAATCCAATCTTATCTCTCTTTTTTCGAATTTAATCAAATGGACATGAAATGAAACTCCTCATTACAGAAGTTTCCTAGTTTGAATTTAGATAATTGATAAACAAGTCTCAGTATCCGTGTGCCAAAAATGTAGTGTCTGACCACATTTTGTAACTTGGAAATTCCCGCTTGATGAGGAACAAAGAGTGGAACGTGAATCTCTGAAACGCCAAATGTTTGAAAAATGAAACAGACAATTTTAGCTATCGACATACCAATATCAATAAGAGATGATGTTAACAGTAATAGCAAACATGACTAACACCACCCGATACAGATAAAAGATGATTAGTACGGCAGATTACCTGAAATATCCGTTTTGGTCAATAATTTTAATCTATTAGTGAAGAGACATGCAGTTAAGTGATACCGCTTGACAAAGTATCATAAACTAAACGGATTAACACCACGTTTAAACACTAAAATCCAGAATGAATTAGTCAAGTGCGACATGCAGCTGAACAAGATAACTTTATTAGTGGTAAAAGTAACCCCCTAAAAATACATCGTCACGCAAGAACGCCACAGTATGTATATCACTGAAAATAATCTTCGAGAAATCCTAACCGGACAATTTAATTCGATAACTAAAATTAGAGTGACTATACCCATTCGGTTGATACATAACAGTGCTATCCAACGAATCACCGAATTTTTACACATTAAGCTGAGTCGCACCCCATAGAAAGAGAACCTTGCATGGTTAACTAGTTCACTAGACGGTCATAAGATCGGGTAAAGAGGGAAGGTTGGGCATAGGGCTAGCAACCCTACCCCGTAAAACAAACCCAACCGCTAAAGAAACTTCAAAGCAAAAACAAAATATAAAAAATAAATACAAAATTATTCCTCCCTGGAATCGGAGAGGCGAAAGGATGCCGGTTGGTGAAAGCCTGTCTTCGGAAAGCCAATTAGTCGATGTGTCTTCTCTCTCTCGATGAAAGCGAAAGTAAACGTGGGGACATGGAATGTCCGCACCATGTTTGAACCTAGCAAGGCTGCCCAGATTGCAAAGGAGATGAGAAGGTATCGCATTGAAGTGTTAGGAATTCGCGAAAGCAGACAGAATGGAAGTGGACTCTCCAAACTGTCAACTGGAGAATCAATAATCTACTCCGATATTGTCACACACACGACAACCACAAGCACATTCAGTTTTCGAGTGGCTATCATCATGCCCCCAACAGCATCGAAGACCCTCATACAGTGCGAACCAATCTCCTCAATGATCAGGATCATGACAGCAAGATTCAAATCAAAAGGAAGGAAGGTCACAATCATACAATGCTGCCCTACGCACCTACAAATAATGCAGAGCAAGAGAAGAAGGAGGAATTCTACAGACAACTTCAATCAACACTGGATAAGACCCCACTCCAGTTGGCCACATCAAAATTCTAGTGGGCGACATAAATGTCAAACTGAGAGCGGACAACACAGGAGCTAACCATCGGTCGAGAAGCACTCGGTGAGGTGATGAACGTGGATGCAGAATTGTTCGCAGAATTCTGTGCATTCAACGATTTGCTGACTGGAGGCACTGTGTTCAAGCACAAGGATGTTCACAAAGCGAGCGACATGGATTTCACCAGACACCAGGACACACTAAAAATCTGATCGACTTCATCTCAATCTCAAGAAAGTGAAGACGCAGCCTACTTGACACAAGGTCAAGAAGAGGAGCAGGTGCAGGCTCAAACCACTCACTATCTAGTGCAAGGAACCTTCCAAATCAAGTTAAAAGCCTTCAAAGAAGCTGGTGATAGACCACAGTTCAAGTTCAACACCCAGATCAGAAACTGAAGGACGCAACTACAAAGGACATCTTCACGACAGCCAGTCATCAAGACAGTATGGGAGATATCCAGCAACATCCCTGAAGAAACCTGTGTGGAAGAACACTGGAAGTCTTTGAAAGCTATGTGGAAAGAAACCTGCATAACCGTATTAGGAAGGAAGAAGAAAGAAGATAAGGAATGGATCTCGATGGACACACGGAAGCTGATGGTGGAGAGAAAGGAAGATGGTGAAGCAGAAGATAAACCAGTGCAAGGATGCTCAACGACAAGAGGAACAGAATACAACCTATAAAACACTACACTGGACAAAGAAGTGAAGAAGAGTGCGTGCAAACACAAAAGACACTTCTACGAAACACTAGCAAGTGAAGCAGAACAGGCTACAGTTAGGAGAGACAGAGACCTGACAACATTGTATCAAATAACCAGGTTTCTATCTGTGAGGGAAGAGATCAACACACATGAAACCAATAAAAGATCATAAAGGAAATCTAATTACCAAAGAAGAGAAACAAAGGAAACAATAGGCCGACCACTTCAAAAAGCCCTTCAATCGACCACCACCTGCACTTCGTCCACAAATACCACCTGCAGTCACAGAACTACAAGTGAACATAAATCCTCCAACAAAAGTCGAAGTCCTGAACGCCATAAAGCTACTGAAATGTGGGAAAACAGCAGCACCAGATGGAATCCAGCCAGAAGCACTAAGAACAGACGCAGAGACAACAGCGGACATCCCCACACCACTATTGCAGAAGGTTTGGAAGAAAGGAGGGAAAGGTACCTGCCCAGTGATCGAGAGAAGGGCTACCTTGTCAAACTACCAAACAAGGGAGACCTAAGTCTTTGCAACAACTGGTGAGGAATCACCCTCCTGTCCACCCCAAGCAAAATATTAAGCCACATCATTCTGGAGAGACTAAAACATGCGCTGGATTCAAAACCACGACCGGAACAGGTTAGCTGGATTCAGGAAAAACAATTCATGTACGGATCAAATTGCAAGGCTTCGCATCATCATAGAACAGAGTATAGAATGACAGTCAACCCTCTACCTCAACTTCATCGACTTTGAAGAGGCCTTTGACAGCGTCGACCGATAAGTAATTTGGAAACTGCTATTTCAACACTACGGAATACCACAAACCTTTATCAACCTCATTCAACAACTTTATATGAAGACGCCACATCCCAAGTAATTCACAATGGAAAGCTCAGTGATTCCTTGGAGTGAAGACAGGAATAAGACAACGTTGCCGCTTACTATCACCCATGATATTCCTGATTGTGGTCGACTGGACTGGATCATGAAACAAACTGTGAGGAGCAAGAAGAGGGGGATACGCTGGACCACGGAAAAGAACCTAGAAGATTTGGATTTCGCCGATGACTTGTGCCTGACGTCGCACAAACTTGAAGATCTATAGGCAAAAACTAACAAGTTGACAGAAGAGGCGTGGCAGCGAAGATGGGACTTCAAGAGAATATAGAGAAGACAGAGGTGATGAAGATACCCAACCAGCAACAATAGCAACAACAAGCTCCAATCACCATCAACGGGAGAAACCTAAAGGAAGTAGCCTCTCACCTATCTAGGCAGCACTGTTTCAACTACAGGTGGCGGTACAGACAAGGACGTCAAAGACAGGACCCGAAAAGCAAGACGGCCGTTCATTAGCCTGAAACCAGTGTGGAGATCTTCTGCACTCAGCATCTGGAACAAGATGCGGATTTTCAACACCAACGTCAAGTCAGTGCTCCTGTATGGTTCAGAGACTTGGCGCGTTACGAAAGGCATTTCCAGCAAATTACAGACATTCATCAACAACTGTCTACGCTCGTTACTGAAGATTAGATGGCCAGAAAGAATAAGCAACAAAGAACTCTGGCCTGCCAATGAACAAACCAAGAACCTATCGCTCAACAAATATGCACTGGAAGGAAGTGGAGATGGATTGGGCATACACTGAGTAGGCCGACTGGAGACATCACGCGTCAGGCCAGTCCCTCGAGTGGAACCCCGATGGGAAGCGACGAGTTGGGTGTCCGAGGATGACACGGAGGAGATCGTGCAAGGAGGAAATGAGAGCTTCTGGGCTGTCGTGGAGCCAGGTTCAAAAGATTGCAGAGAACAGAGCGCATTGGAGACGTGCTACTGAAGCCCTATGTTCCATTGGGAACCCAAGGGACAAATAATAATAATAATCATATACGGCAATATTCGACTCTCAACATAGAGAGGTTTTGTGTCAATGTCTCTCACTGAAACGCGTGCTCCATAAAACGCTCTGTATTTGAATACCTGGGAGCACATTACACCCTATATTGAGATTTCAGGTGTCCTTGTCAAGAATGCCCATTCTCTCCACTTTTACGAAACTCTTGCAAGTCTCCACCTTGTTGTCTAACTACACAGGGACTGACCTTATCACAAAAAACTCCTTAGCAGACATAGAGCATGGAGATAATGCAATGAAGATGTTGACAAGATACAGAATCTTTTGAACACCTTCAGTGGCAATTTCAGAATGTTTGGAATGCGTTTCTAGCCAACCAAATGCGAACTGTTGTTCCCATACTCATCTTCACTGGTGACCTGTCTAATAATAGGGAGTGAAGCAGTTGAGCACGTTGATCACTTCACTTACCTAGAGAGTCAGATCAGCCCTGGTGGGTCACTCGCTGACTGACCGACGAAATTTCTGCACAGATCCAAAAGGTTCGCTTGCCTTTCCTCAAATTACGCAACCTGTGATATCTGATTGCCTATTACGGGTCGAGTGTACAGCACTTCAGTTTTTTCTGTTCCACCGTATACTTGTGAAACATGGCCATTAAAGGTAGAGGACATGGAAAGGTTCTTCGTGTTCGACCACTGTTGCCTTCGTAGCATACAGCGTATATTACGGTGTCAACACATCATTAACTTAGAAATCGAGTGTAGAGTTTTGAGCAGAATAGTAGACTGATTTGATGATCTGTGGAACTCTATCGACTCAGGTAGCTGGAACATGTGTTATGCATGCCCATTTGCCACCTGACTCGTCGCACAATATTGGCTAAAGCAGGTTAAGGTTACAAGCTGACTTCACTTCTTCCTCTTGGTCTGTTGTATGATAACTCATTATTTGGTTGTATAGTCCAAACTAATGAAAATGTGCATGTTGATTATAACTAGTGAAATGAAAAGGAAACGTACATTGATGGCCTTCTTTTTTCACCGTACCAGTTTTCAAATCCAGTATACGCCCTGGAGCTGGTGATGAACATACAGTATTATTCAGGTGTGCAGGAGAATTACGACGTTGTGAGGAGCATATATGGGTCGACACTAGATCAGATACTGATGTTGGTGAAGAATCAGAGGTGCTGGAGCACATTTTAGAGTCTGATGATGAAGTAAGGGGCTTATTGATACTGGCTGAGTTGTTATTCGATAAAGGAGTAGGAGGTTGACCAGTGAGGCCTAAGACACTAGCACCTTGTGATGGTAAGGGGGATCCAGTCAATTGTTCACATATCTTCCCTGCATCATCCGGGTGGCATAACTCGTAGAGAGTGTGTTGATACCATTCTGACTAAAATAGTGAAAACATAAAATAAGAAAATGTTACAGTTGTGGGTATATGATTTTTTGAAATAATACTTTACCAATTACTCCAAATTATTCCAAATACAGACAAGAAGACAACGATGACAACTGCTTACATATCAAGATAAAAATATTTACAGCATTAGAAAAATAAAGAATCAGAATAAATACGTATTCTCATAAAAGCATATTAGGTTCATAGTAAATCTTAAGAAAACTCTCAGCAACAGAGTCAATGTAGAGCTCTACAGAGAAGTACATCTGTTTATATTTATGTTTTTATATTTATCAATAGTACAGGAAGAGGAAAAGAGTTGAGAGAAGAATGCTATTCAGAAAATAAAACCGATATGGAAGACAATACATTTCAAGGATAATAAAGAATGAATCTACCTGTGGTGGTGCGATCAATTTTGAAGCATGCCTATGACGGTCCCCGACCACTGAATCTCAACATCTCTAGGACCCCAGATAAATGATTTAAATGATTTAGACTGACACTCACATACTTTTATGAATTATTGTCGTCTGGTAATTCTTATCATACTATCACAACACTACTTCCGATTCAACTAGTGTAACACGTCAAGGTATACTGTGGGTTGGGGTGCGTAACACATGCTGGAATTACCTTATTCGTTGCAGGCCCAAAAATTCGTCAACTATCTTGCCATCTTTACCTAGTACTCTATTACTGACCCCGTTACCTACCCTATAGTTCATGCGATACTATGAAGGTACATATGGTGAAAGACATGTAACCTCCCCATATCTCACACCCCAAATAATCGTGTAGTAAAAAGAAGGGGACTACTGTGCAGTATACTTATGCCCGAAATTTATCTTTTGTATCCAAGCTGAGAATGATAATTCAGACAGAATACGATAAAAGCTAACAAGTTTACCAACCAAACTGAAAGTATATGATGTTCAAAAAAATTAACATACCAATAATAAAATATTCAACAGGGTGTTTTAAATAATCCGATTAATGGTAAATCAATCTGTTCCACTAGCAACAAAGCCAAATACATATAAGTGTAGGCAAAAACAACAATGCAATAGCGAAATAATCTCACCTGTCACGTAGGAAGTTCATGAGGAAATAATCCTACTTTCCAACACCAATCTGCAAGTATTATCTTACAATTCATATATGCAAAATGCATGACATGCACCTAGATTTTCGTTTCAGACCTTTAACATGCTTAAAATTACGTCACTGTCTTTGTGTAACAGTACTATTTTACCAGCTTAATATAGTTCAGCTAGAAATTTTCTCGACAGATTACACCCTATGATAAGGTTGAAAAATGATATTTAGGAAGGAAATCCCTGATAGACCGTCAGTTGTCGCCACGTCGAATGACAAATCTGAGTAAGTCTAGACATTGTTGCGTAAACTGGATTAAGATGAATTAAATAGAGTTGTACGCCTTCTTAGGACTTTAATCCAGTTACTGTGAGACTATGGTTTCAAACCAGATAGAAAGATATCGTAAAACGTGCATTTCAAACTTCATAAAGTAACAAATATGAGTTTAGACATTATTGTCTACGAAACAACACAAAAATCTACCTGAGTCTGGTTGAGGACAGCTGTTACACTGTCAGATACATAGATGATTCTCCCTGTATCACACTGGCATACAAAAAGGAATCCATCGGCAGCCTACGGAAAAAAGCGGTTACAATTGATGATAAGTAAAAATAACAAACACACAGATTATATTTACCACAATGACAACAATTTTTGCGTTTCATCAAAAATTACATTTATTGGGAAGGTTTATTAAAATTTGGCAAACATTAAGATCTATGCTTCCTGCTGGACTTCGCTAAAAATATTCACTGCTCGTGAATAACAACATACAGAAGATTCTACAACACATTTTAGATGATCCACGGTTAAGCAATAAACGCGGAAGTTAACGATTTGTTAAACCATCAACTATATGATAACGTCGACTTGCGACCCTATGTAGTAGTATCCGTCAGGTATCATGCTGATGATGTCTATCTGCCTGTAGCGTGCAAGAAAGAATGTGTACGTAAGATTTAGACCTTTGAGATTCGAAAACTATACTCTTTTGTGCTTCCTCCACTTGAACTTCTGATAGAATATTTTTCTGTATTAGAGAAAATTATCGTAAGCAATACCTTTCTATGAAACGATACCCTTCAAAAATGGTGACTAATTGACGTAACCTGAGGAAACTATTAGTCATAGTGGACGGTGATTTTATGATAGTAACATGTAAGAAGTATGGATTTGTTGAACCGCATACATAAAAAAACTATCAACCAAACTTTGTTTTTGAGTAATGATGACTGACTGACTGACTGATTAAATCAACGTAGAACTTCGCACACAGGTGCATCGGCTGAAATTCTCACACTTCACAGTAGTACACAAAGAATAGGTGGATAGAAAAGGAATGATATCAAAGTAGATAAAGTAGACCGAGTAATGATACTGCACTCGAAAGCTCTAGCTAACAGCACAACCACTGAAACCGACTGAAACGGTGCAAAAGATAAGTTAAAATACCTAATAGTTTCGCTAGACTTGGTCAAAATAATAACTGATACATAATAGCGAAATTCTAAGTTAACAAGCGTAGTCACTTGCGATTTACGCATACCGTTTTACTGGTATGCATGTGTCTGTCGAATGACTTCGCTAGTCTGAATATGACAAATAAATAACTTTCAAACATCTAGAGGCAATTCAAGGTTTACAGATAAATTTTAGAAAGGAGTAATATATATATATATATATATATATATATATATATATATATATATATATATATATATATATATATATATATATATATATGACAATGACGCAAACTTACTTCCAAAACTAAATGCTTTAACTCTTGATCTGAAAGGAACGAAGGTTTGTATGATCCATCAGAATTAGTGTTGCCGGTTCCTAAAATGATAGCAAAATGTCAAGTATCATCGGAGAAAATGGTTTCATAATATGCAAAATACTGTAGCTCAACATACTAATGCATGTTCATGCGATAATTAACAATGCATACCTATTGAACGAAATTTAATGATAATAAACCTGTCTCAACGATCGGAAGTTTATTGTCAAGAAAACCGAATCACAGTTATACAAGTACACAGTGCATGAGAGACGTCATTCAATAAGTATTGGTGCGGGACTTAGGCATTAGTGTATAACGACCTAAGTTGCCATACCTCATATCATTTTGAAATGATGTAGAATACTCTTAGCTCAGATACATAACCTTTGTGTTGCATTCTCTAAGCTGGATGATTCAATTGTAAAGCTTCCAACGCTTCTTTAAACATTATCAGCACTAACTTCAAGAAGAAGCCACAACACATTGTCCGACCAGCTCGTTCGGAAAGTCCCTAAACAAATTGATTAAACTTTTTTTAAATCAAAACAATACAACCTACTTTGCTATTGCTTGGTCGATTACCTGACCGCTCGTTTGTGACTCTGTTCAAGAAAAATTACTACGCAGACGAAGGTCTTATAATGCCACTTACATACATGACTACGCCTTAGAAATATATAGCAAATACTGTTAGCACCTAATGTGCAGGAAAATGCTTCATCATATCAGAAGTAATCAAAATCAGCGGGAAAATTAACTAATCAAAGCAAACCGAGCGTTCTGAACCCGTGATAGCAGACTGCTGGCGGCTAATCCGTGACTTGAATGAGGTCTTCGATTCGTTTAACCTGTCAACTTTCCATAATAAAATTACGTGTGCATGAAGCCTATCTCGGAAGAATCACTTTGCATCCAGTAGGTATAGTAAATAAATCACAATTTTGAAGTTTTCCTTAACGAACACCCCAAGGAGTCAAGAAGTTTGACATGGAACTCTACACAAATGTAAATCGGTTCAATTTTTCCCAACTGGTAACATCACGAAAAGAGGAATTACAGGGCCAAAAAAATATCAAATCTCAAGTTGATCATTCACGGTAATTATCCCAAGCAATTTTCAGCGTAACATACTTTCTTGATATTGATCTCTGTATAGATGGCTATTGCCATAAGATACCATCATCAGTGGTACGATTAAATATCACGTCGTTTTTTCACCACTCAAAAATATGATAGGTGTGCATTATTGTTTCACTTAACACCCTGCAGAGCCTATGTAATCTTGAGTGAACAATGTTTTAACGTTTTGTATATATGGTCCTCTGGTTACCAGAAAATGTATTCGATTCGCAGAAAATTTACACATCTTATATCCAGGTTCAAAAGATTTCAGAGAACAGAGTTCACTGGAGACGTGCTACTGAAGCCCTATGTTCCACTAGGAACCCAAGGGACTAATAATATATATAATAATAATAATATCCTTAGTGAGCTAGAACTGTTTAGTTGACACTATGGTTAACATGTCCTTTTTATTCCACCGGCTTTCCAATAGTTAAGTATAACCTTTAGAAGTGTTGATAAGACTTTCAGGACTACAATTGTCACAAATGTGATTTTCTAGTGTCAAACAAAATGTTCATTTATTCAGCAGAAATTAAATACTTTATGCTAGCTAATATTAACCTGCACTAGCCAATTAACATTTAAATGACGAAAGAAGTATACGGGAAGAATTTCTGAAAAACACGACCTAGTTTGATTTTAAAGAATATCCCAAGAAATCTACGCCTTTTGGGTGTCATCAGAATGCTTCCATTAGTGCAACCATCTGTCGTATTAATCACAGAAGACACCTGGCCGGTGAGCAGTACGTTTTCAAAACACTCAAGCAAACAACTTAAGTGTACTGTAGTTTGATGAAGCTGTTACCATCGAACAAAGAAAAGCTTCCCTGAATATTCTCAAGATAAGGCAGTCATCAAGCTGGTTTCTCCTTAGAAACGCGTGGCATTGCACTAAATTTTCCACCTCCGTAATCCAAAACTAGTGTTTATACATTATCTCCTTTAACTTTAAGTTACTTTATGATTTATCTCATTCATTAGTAGAAAGTGGTGCTGACTTTAGTGTGAATCACCAATCATTCTTTAAATATTCTTACCATCTTCCAAAAATTCAAGACTGAAAGGTTATAAATGCCCTCAGAACAAAGCTCAACCTTTAACTGCTAACAAGAAATATAATTCCTTCTGATGATTGTGAGTCAATTAATGACCTAACACAGTTAGCAACCTTTAATGACTCACGAAAACTTTTCAAAGATCTGATCATTAGTACACAAAAGTAAATCAAAGGACTTGCAAAAATCAAGTTGAAAGATATATGAAATGATAAGTTTCACTAATATTATAGCACATGTGCTTAAAATAATCATGACGCGCAGTCTATTCATCATCAACTCTGGTCGAAGGTAGTAAATAAATCAATTAACTCCACTGTTTTCTAGCCACATCATCCTTACTTTCCCGCTAAATACATCAACTGTGACAGAGACTTAGTTCAGGAGTTCTCTGTTTAGATGTTAATTAAGTCAGCTGCCGAAAATTTTACAAAATGGACTTCTGAGTATAACTACCCCGAAGCTTCCTTCATTCTGCCTGCATTTGTTCTGGAAGGTGGCGTAGGCGATGGCAAGGCTCAGAAAGTCATGTGTGACCGGTTAGTTGCAGAGCAAGTAACGTAGATTGTCTTCTTAAATTTGTAAAAATTACGGACTGTTTCTACACAGTACCAAATTTTGGTACAACCACCAACAATTCACTTGCTTGGAATCCAAGCCATTAGTATCAGGAAGTTTAGTGTCGATAGGGTGACTGGTATGCTTTTGAATAACATGCTTGAAATGCAAGGAAATAGAAACTCAAAAAAGTTTAGTCAGCTTACTTTTCCATCGGTTTCAATCCATGCTTTAATAAGGGGATAATACCAAATACCTTAGTAAAGCTGAGGTTCAAAACCAAAATTTAAGCACACAAATGCCGTAAGACAATGGACCCAGACTTTTTGAGAATATAATGAAGGGTGAAAGTATTCTATCATTCTGACTGAAGACCATTGTCACGGTAATCTTCAAAGAGTTGACTCATAAGTTTTTTATCATTGTCATCTACAATATTGGCTGCTGGTATGCTTTACAGACGTATAGAAAACTTATTCACAGTAAGTCTGGTTTTAAATAGGTTGTGGATGCACCGATCATGCATTCATCGTCCGCCACATGCTTAAATATAATCACATGTATTCCACACCAGAGATCTTGTTTCTCGATATAACGGCTGCTTTTAAACATTAGACAGGACAGCAATCCAGAACTATCTATCACATAGGTGTCCGTAGGAAGTTCATTCAAAGACAATTCAGTCATAGCGAGAGCGGACAACATCCACTTTGAACTATTCAAATCAGGCATCAAGCAGGGCTGCTTGATTTCACCATTCCTCTTTGACTTCCCAACTGATGATATTCTTGAGACAGTTCTGAAGAATTAGAACGGTACTGATTTCCTACTGGACAAAAACCTTTTTGACACTGAGTGTAGGATGATAGCGCTTTTTGTATGACAACAGGTCACTGAAATAGTGCTTCGTTAGTCGGTATTCAGTGGCCGTAACTGTGGTACTTGCTTTATACCAAAGGTGCAAAGTACTTTGAGAGAATGGCAAGGGGTCGCATCTATAACCACCAATGGGAGCCAACTAATTTCACTTATCTTTGACGCATTAGTGATGCGAAAATGACGGTAAGAGTCTACGTTTGCAATCCTTTGGTGCGTTCAGATTAGCTTTACACTTAAGAGGTCTGGTTTATTTGAAGTATCTTTGTCCATCTTTCTTATTTGGTCACTGATAATTTTCGCAGGATAGCATGCTGTCAGTACCAACTACATTCTGTTAACTGAGTCCCACCGACAGGCTGAGAACCTGACATTACAGAGAAGAAATTTAAGCTGCCTAACCATACGTTGGCATATCAAAGTAGGAGATAACAAGGAGAACAGATAAATGAAAGTAACATCACAAGAAGACAAAAGGAGAAGTAAAAGCGGACAACGGAATGTGATATTACAGGTAAGATGGATGTAACGTGCAGATGCATGTTGGTTATTGCAATTAATTTTAAATCATAATATCTCTGACGCATACAAGCATTAGTTTAGGTAGTCTATTACCTCACGACTAAGAAGTCTAAATTTTTATTCATAACGTCAACCAACAGTCGACTTCATAGACAGATGCCAAGTCTCAGTCTGACTACCCTTACGTTTCTTTGAACGTAACCCTACTTCAGTCAACATTACACTTTGTAGCAGATGATGGTTCGGCACATCAAGCAATGAAGGTTTCTAATCCAACAAAGCAACTTTACATTAATTACGTTGTGGTTCGATAACATATGAACAGTGCTATGGAGGCAGTGGTGTTTAGGTAAGTGAGACTTGAGTACGTTTGAGCTGCATACAGGTCATTACCCAGCAATCGCCACCATCTTGAAACATCGGTGTTGCTGGTTAAGACAGTTCTTATACATACCGTTCTACCATCTTGTAGACTCCTTGGTGTTTCCTGGCCATGGAACAGGCTGTAAGAAATGGAGAGGTCATCAGTCTTCATTTTATCATGCTTATATACATTTTATTTCATTTATTTATATTTAACACAACACTGGTACGGAAAACTGTAGGATACAAAATAATATAACGACAATAAGAAGACGTAAAAGTGATAGGGAAAGAAGGGAACAGAAGGGTTACATGGGAAAAATAGGAACAGATTATTAAAGAAGCGGTTTAAAAGATACCATCAAAAAAGCATTCATTACTTTACTTTTCCTCTTCGAAAACACTAAGAACAAAGAAGTTGCAGCATGATCGCAACTGATTTCGAGTGAGCCACGTTTGCTGTCATCATAAACCATAGTTTCGTGATAGCTCTTACCCCATTCAAGGAAACCTAGAGTAGCAGCAGATGCTATTCTAACACAACTATTCATACCA